ACCAAGTCACACGCATGAAGTTTGAGGGTTCTGGTCTGGATTTTGAACATTGAGATTATGGTTGAACCTATTTGGTAAATTTGGAGTTCTGTTTAGTTTGTCAAACTCTAAGATGTCAATTTCTATATGCACTGGTCCAAATAATGTAGTAACCTCGTTCTAGAAGTTTAACTGCAGGTAGTTAAACTTCCCAATGTTACAATCCTTGTTTGAGAGCTAATTTTCCCCTTGATGAATAAGCATTTCTCTTCCCAATAACCTTGGTCAAGGGGAAAATAAAACTTGATATATTGTAATAACTATAGGAATAATTGTAATTTATTATTTGTTGCAACTTATCATTCAATAACTTTATATAAATCCAAAAGTAAGTAATTCAATCATCTTAACTCACTTCCGAGTCAATATATACCTTGATTCCAATTGTATTAATTCAGATTCAAGTATCATTGATCATACTTTTCGAATCTAAATGATTTTATCTTTAAAATTTTAAACTCTTATTATTACGAATAATTGACTTGAACTTGTATATAGGTCTAATAAGTTATATTCATATTCCAAATAAGGTGGAATATTAGAACATCAATGATTGTAATTGACTGATGACAGAAGCATAAGAAAACCACACAAACTGCTTAATCTAACTTTTAATGTTGTTGGTACCAAGACAGCTACATACTCTTTCAAATAAATTAAGCCTAAATTTGCCACCATTGGACATGTTGGTGTGGAAGGCTTTACTTTGAGGGGACTGGATTGCTGGTATGTGATTTTAGGCAGACAGATTATAACATTTTCAATCCAAATGGGAATAAAGTCTCAGGATCAATAAAATATTGCCCATACTTAAAAATGTATAGCTTGAATTGTATGCTATTTTCTTGATTCTGTGTCCCATTTGCCATCACCTTGAGAGATAAAAAGTATGCCAATTTAATCAAATGGTTTGGGATTGATTTAAAGTAGGGGCAATGAAAGCTATTATTAGACTTAAATACCATCACTTTGAGAGATAAAAAGGATGTGAATTCAATTCAATGGGTTGGGACAGTGGGGCAGTGGAACCTATTAGACTTAAATACCATCACTTGGAGAGATAAAAAGTATGCCCAATTCAATCAAATGGGTTATAAGAGGGATTTTGAGTAGGGCAATGGAAGCCATTAGACCTTAGTACCATCACTTTGAGAGATAAAAAACTATGCCTAGAGATGGATTTAGGTTAAGGGTAATGGAAGAAATAGTAATTAATACTATTATTAAAATCAATTGTTGAGTTTGATATTGTGAGTCAAGTGATATCGATTTAGATGATCAAATTTAATTAAATTACATAAAAATTTTATAAAATAATTAAACACCATATAAAATTTTTTAAAATTATTTTTTATTAATTGTGCTTTTTTCTTTTATTTGACATACACATAAAATGAAAAAACCTACCTTTGTTTCCTCCACAAAAACTGTTCTGTCACCTTCTTCTCTCTTATTCACACACAGTGGATGAGCACAAATTCTAGGAATTATATATAAGAATGTTACACAATTTTAATTCTAAAAAATGTTATTATAAAATTGTTGCTAATAAAATATACTAATTTTTATTAGATTTAACATATATATATATATATATATATATGAGAGTGACTTTTAATTTTGAGATAAGTTCTAATTGAAGATCGATCCATAGTAGGTTGTTAAATAGAAAATATATCTCTTTTTTAAATTTTCGAAATTGAACTTATAATTTCAAGATGAGTTACATAACTTATCATTAATTAATGAAAAATTAAATTAAAAATCAAAATTACTTATATTGCTATGGTGCCCTTGTAAAGCTTATGACAATAAGTTTGAATATTTAATTTATTACATAATTTGTCAAATTGTTAAATTTAAACTAGCTCATGGCCATGGGCTATTCCGGGCAAGACCCATATCATGTCGGGCCTGACTGTGTTCTCTCGCCCACATCGTCTGGGCTCATGGGCCTGGCTTTCTCTTCCCCTCTCCCCTCCATTTCCGGCTCTCAGAAAATTCAAAAAACACTTTCTTTCCCGGCAAACATCATTTCCGTGGAAAGAAAAAGAAATATTCATCTAAACAATAGTTTTCCTCTCTTTTTCTCTCGATCTTTAATTTTCTCTCACTTGGGTTTCCTCCGAATCTCCCCAAATTTACCTTCACATTCTCCAAGTTTCCCCATTAAAACCAAAAAAGAAAAGGAAAAAGAAAAGACAATACAAAAGCATGGAATCAGTGGTGGCGACGGTGAGTGGGTACCGCGGCTCAGAGCGGTTCAATCTAATCAAGCTCATCTCTCATGCAGGCGCCAATTATGTTGGCTCTTTGTCTCAATCAACCACCCATTTGGTTCGTTTCCTTATTCTTGTTTTTTTTTTCCTCTGGCTTTTAATTTGATGGGAAAAAGTAAAAAAATTGAAAAATTTTAATTATTAGGTATGTTGGAGATTCGAAGGAAGAAAATATGAACTTGCTAAGAAGTTAAAGACGATAATCCTAAATCATCGGTGGTTTGAAGATTGTATAAAGGAAGGGAAGCGTTTGCCTGAGGCTCCTTATATGTTGCAAAGGTATTTACTTATTTGGTTTCTAATTTTTGAGAACATTTTTCTCTTGGTAGATCTATAAAAGTAGATTATTTTAGTTCAGTGGTGTGGAATTATTGTGGTTTGTTTGGGTTATTGTGCTGGAGGGATTGACATTAAGGCTGTGTTTGGTAGGAAGGAAGGAAAATGGTGGAAGGAAAAAAAATGGATTAAAACGGGAAAAGGGAAGGAAAGGAAGGAAATTTGTTTTTTACTTCCTATGGCTGTAGAAGATATGATTGAGGATAAAATCGTACATAAAATGATTGATTTTAACTGAATGAGCATTTTCATTCCTTGATTACGGATGAATTGAATTTTGAGGGTATGAAAATGCCCATTTTCCCCATACTTTTTCCTATTTACTTCCTAGGAAATGAGGGAAAATAGCTTCTTTTTTTTAATTTTTTTACGTTTTCTTTCCACTTCTTTCCTTTATCCCTTTTTCCTCCTTTCAAATATAGTAACTATTTGTTTATTTGACCCACGAAATGCCTGCATTTACTTTCAAATTGGAAAATGTTAACGAGTGGCTATGTTAACCAGTTAAGGTGCTTTCCATTTATAGAAATATTTTTGTATGTAATGTATTGTTTGTACTAGAATTTGGTGAGAGCAATGCATTGAATGAAAGCATAATGTCAAGTTTGCTCCTTAAATCAGTTCCCCTAAGCAGTCCTTAATAGAAGTTCTCAAATTGTCTATGATTGTGCTAGTTGGTCACTGCTTGATAATATTTGAAGTGTCAGAAATGGTTGAAATGAGATGGTGTTGGAGTCATACTTGTAGGTTTTGATTTTCTTTGCAGTGGAGAAGAAATGGGACCTTTGTTGCTGGAGATCCATGATCTTGCAAAGGAGGATGCCTTGACTAAAAGATGCAAAGTGTTTTCAGACAAATCCAATGTTCATGATGATGCTAGAGATGAAACAATTGATATTGGCTATGGAGGTTCTGGCTTATCTGGTTGGTCGAAATCTGCATTGTTGGATGAGGTAATTACATAAAATTCTCTTCCTCATTGCCTTCTCTCCCTCCCTCACTCTTTTCCTGCTTTCTTTCTCTTTAGTACACACCCCATACAAACTCTTTGTCCAGATATATAATTCTTATTTCAGATAGACAACTAAAAAGAACTTTGATTGTGATCTAGCATTTTTGGATGATTGTTTCATTTTCATGAATGCATGATGAGCTCTTCATTAGTGGCTTGTAAACTAATATGAGACCAATTTGTAGCAAAGGCAGAATCATTGTACGAATAAGACCAGATGATTTTACTTATTGTAATAAACTAGTACGTCAATCAATGTAATTTTTAATATAGTGCTTGTAAGATTGTTGTGGGCCCGTGGTTTAAATGTTTTATATTTAATGAACTTCATTAATCCAAGATATGAATTTTAAGCAACAACAATAGTAATGTGGTAAGGTACCCTCTACATTTCACTGTAAAGTATGTCAGTTGAGTTGATGCCACTGCATGGTTCAATTAGTAACTCTGTTCTGGCCGAAAGAGAGTAATTCTGTAAATGTTTTTTTTTTTTAATTTGAATTGTGGGTTTGTTGCACAAGCCCTTTCAGGATTAAATTGACTAAGGGCTTTTGAGTTGTCCTTGTCAGAACTATAAATTTACGTGTTTGTCTAGTTGATGGACTAAAGAAGATTTTGCTTCTTGAAAGCTTTGTTTTGATGGTTTTTTTACATGAATTTATGAGTGTGTGCATGCATGTGAGAGTAGATGGAATCAAAAGGGGGAATGTTTTGTTAGTTGAGTTCGGAATTTTTGAGTTGTAAGTATCTGTATGGAGTATTAACTTTAGGTATAAATAATATATAGCACCTTGACAGCCTTGCTTAAAAGAGGCTGTATAGTGTTAGCACTTACTATGGATATTTGTTTGTTTTGTTTTAAAGCTCGGCTTTAAAGCATTGGTTTAAGCATTTTTCTGCAGCCTTTTAGTACTGATTCTCGATCTTTATATGTTTTTCTGACACTTTTAATTTTGCAGAATCTATTTTCAGGGCTTGAGAAAATCAAGGGTTGTTCCTCTAAACTGAAATCTAAACCATTTAGAAAATCTTTGAAGGAGGAAAATTGTTTTAGTAGTAGAAACTACTTTCAGGAGACTAGTTCATATGGATTAGATAGGAAAAAGGTAATGAGTGATATTATCTGTTTTTTTTTCTTTATTCAAATTCTTCAAGATATTTTCTAAACTTGACTTTTTTGTTACAGGGTTATTTATAGTCTTAGTTGTTATTTTAACTTTTTTCACGGCCATTATTGGAAAATGCAGTATTCATTAATTATCATTGTAACTTGTTCACATAAAGCATTTTCTCTCACTCATTAATCTTTGACCTTATGCAAGTTCCAAATGTAGCAGGGTAAAAGAAGTCATTTTTACTGCAACATTTCCAACACACTGAGTAGTGTCTCTTAGACTAGCTTCTCTGCACTTGCTTTCAACACTGTACCCATGATTATGTGAACACAGTTAATAGATAGAAGTATGTACATCAATTTGTTGAAGATAAATTAAAGGAATAAAAGGGACTCTAGGATTTCTCAATTAACAAATGAGTAAATTTGTTTGGATCCGTGGTTGGCCATTCTTTGTTGGATGACCATTAAACACTAATATCATTTGGACATACTCATCATCCAACAGACAATTTGGACAAGGGGAGGTAGTGCCTAATGAGAGATATTGAAATTTTGTTGTGCAAGAGTAATACCTGAGCATAAGTTACTGCACAAATTGTCCTGTTAAAAGTGATTTTGAAAAATGGACCATATGATATGTAGATCTGTGGCTCTTGTGCTCACATATATGCAGCTGATTTGTTAATAGGACTGGATAAGATTATATAAGAATATTGCAAAATTCAAAATCTTCTTGATTATGACTCTATTAACATCTTCTCGTTCTAAATTGCTCACTATATATCTTCGGCATGCAAAGTCACCTAAAGATAAAATCACAGGATTTCCTACTGCTATAATTCTTCAGTTCTTGAATCCTATACTAACTTTAGTTCTGATTATTCCTCTGTTGATATGGGTCTTGGTAGGTGATAAAACTAAGCCATGTCTTATTCAGATATATTGATAGGTTGTTATTTGTTATAGGTTTCTTTTCTAGTTTAAGCATTGGTTGCTTTAATCTTTTCTAGAGACAACCAGTAAGATTCTCTAGGCTTTAGCTTAAATTTTATACAAAAGCAGAGCTTGAACTTTTGTATGTGATTGTATGACTTTTAAGGAATAATTTCTCTTCTCTGATTTTATCGTCTTTGCTTCTTATTTTTCTCTGGTTGAAAAGCATGGACAGTCAAGTTCTGATGCTTCTATACCTCCTATGAGGAACAAAAGGAAGATCTCAAAGAACAAAGAGCTGAATGCTCATTGTTCCACTCACTTGATGAGGGAAGAAAGAAACATTCCTAACAGTAGCAGAGACACTTGTTTGGCTGAATCTTGTCAGAGAAACAGACGGAGGCTTGTGAAGAATGTTAATAGAGAAATTGTTGTGTCTGGCCTTTCAGATTCTGAGCAAGAGTGCTATCCACCCAGGGTCCATGAGCAATACAGTGGAGTTATATATCCATCTGACCATTCACTTGATCAAAGGACTGTTAGTTTATTTGAAATTGGAGCACCATCTAGTTATGACTTCAGTAAGCATAGGGGAGTAGATGAAGAAATTGAAGAAGTTGAGGAGATCAAATTATGGAACCATCAACTTCCTTCCACAAGTTCAACTTTGCCTGTAAAGGATGCACCATCTGTCTCTGAAAGACCTTCACCGGATGGGTGCTTTGATGTTGAGAAAGAAAGCCAAGATGTTGGTCAAATAGAGCTTGCTTCCAGATTACCCAATTCAACGGAATTATCATGTGTTATATGTTGGACTGAGTTTAGTGCAACCAGAGGGGTTTTGCCTTGTGGACATCGATTTTGCTATTCATGTATCCAGGACTGGGCTGACCATATGGTACACATTCTTTTCATCTCCTTTATTTGCTCCTTTCAATTTCATATACATTATAGCTGGCATTCCTTCAATTATCATTAATATCCTTCATGAGCATCTGGCTTTGATATGATTATACTTTGTCTAATAATTTGTTTATTATATATACTATATGAGTTTAATATCTTCTTGATTGGCTTATATTCTATCTTGTGTTGTAAACCATCATCTTTGCTGTATGCAATCCATTCTGTTCATGTTTGTGACCATTCCCTTAATTGGGTATTATGGTCCTAATTTTGTCACTATGTCCAAGCATTCGCCATTTATACTGATGTTTGTTCATTTTTTATTTTGAAAAAATGGTGGTCCAGGTCACATTGGCCTGCTAATTCAAAACTGATTCTAATAATTAGACATTTGAGTTTGCTACTCCCTAAATATCTTGCTTGTTTCCAAATTAGGAAGCAAATACTGCAAATTTTTGCATTGTCTTGATCTTTTGAGACAATTATTTGGAAATAACATTCCAATGGAATCTAGTGTTTGATTTATCAATCTCTTGGTCCTTACTTCTTTTTTCCCCTGTTTCTACCAACTATTTGTGGAGAATAAGAGAAGTGGAAAACAAGCCTACCCTTTTCTTTTTACGGTTTGGAACCACACACAGCTTGCTGTTTTTCAAATGTCATTAGCTTGAATCTTATATCATGATTATTTGTTCCACATGATCATTTTTTTCCTATGATGCATGTAGATTTCAAGGAGAAAGACTTCAACCTGTCCTTTGTGCAAGGCAAGTTTCATGAGCATCACTAAGGTGGAGGATGCGGCCATCTGTGATCAAAAAATTTTCTCCCAAACCATTCCATGTGCCACATCAGCAATGGATGTTTCTATTCTTCCTGATCAAGAAAGACCTAGTTTTGGTGTTCAGGTAGCTCTAATACTAGAAAATCTCATTTAGGCTTTAACTCTTGGTCATTGCTTCTGCATTTTTTGTGGAAGTAAATGATGAAGCTATTCTTTGAAATGATGGCTCTGTGTGATATCCTTTTGGAATTAGTGAAATAGGCCACTTGAGTGGCTGTGGTGCTTAAAAGTTTGAGTAGAATGCCCCTTTTCTATGGTTTGATGGGTAGAAATCCTAGATTTTCAAACTTAATGCTCTCTTCTTGTATCCGGGAAAAAAAAAAAAACAGAAATCAGGGATTTGCAGGTATCATGTTTCTGTTCTTAACATTTATGCTGTTAATGTGCATAAAAGAAGTCTAATAAAAAACTGTATGATATGTATTTGACGAGAATTTGGTGGGAAAAAGGACAACCAGATGGGGTAGAGGTCTGGAAAGGACATAAGGGGCAAAGACCATGATGACATGCGAATGTGCACATGCACATGCTGGCATACGCATATAGGTACCATTATGTGAATGCCTCTCTTCAAGAGCTGATGCTGTTTCTTTTTGTGAGATTTATGGTGCAGCGAATTTTTTTAAGAGATGTCAAAAATGTCAAATTGTTGTCAAAGCTATCCAAACAAGGCTTCTACTTGTGAAGCACGTTTTTCCTCTGTATACTGGAAACTGTCTGCGTTTCCAATGGATGTGAAAAGTAAGATCATTATGTTGCAAATAATAAGCCAAGCAGAGTTAGTATTTGCAGTCCTTAACTCCCAGCCACCATTGCTACTTTACATATCATCCATTGGTATTAGTAGCTTAGTCTTGCTGGCATTACTTTCCATTCTTATGGCACTTATAATTGATTTTCCTTAACTGATTGTGGCTTTTTTTTTTTTGGCTTTTAATAGTCTTCATCAGCTTTTGTTTGCGTAAAGTGCCGTTGTCGAGAACCTGAGGATCTTCTTGTCAGCTGTCATCTTTGCCTGATAAGAAACATCCATACATACTGTCTTGATCCTCCTTTATTACCATGGACCTGCATTCACTGCAAGGATCTGGAGAGGCTCCCCTCTTATTCCTTCTAATATAGATATCTTGATACTGATAATTCATCTAGAAGATGATCATCTACTACTGCAGCATTCTTTTAACCTTGAGTTGTCTATAACATGATGCTGTATTTTCTGTAAAAAAGTATCCTTTGTGATAGTGGTTATGCTAGCTGTTTTTTGAACCAAAGGTTCTTGATGCATGTCTGGCAGATTTGTCCTGTTTATTCTTACTTGATGGCATATGAACTGCAACAATCTCCAAATTCTCTGTTAGTACTACATCAACATGATGTGTGATAATAAGTTTCGGAATAAGATGCAAGGAGTTATATCACCCTCTTTTTGATGAATGGGTAACATCTTCTATTTTTATTCTTTTTGCCCTGTTGTTGGTGAATTAATTGTGTTGATGATGCTAGATGCATGGCCTGTCTTGCCTGCGTGATGTTTTGTGTTTGTGATATACTGGTTGTGATACACGTGAGATATTTTTGGTTATCATTTGCTGGCTGTGGTTCCTGTTGTATTGAACCCTCTTGAACAGTTGGGAATTTTTGCTGGATTAGTATGAGAATTCTGAATTGGAATGTTAGGTTGCCTTAAGAGTGCAGTAAAAGTAAGAACTCTTAGAAGAATTGTCAGCTGCACCAAGTCAGATATGGTTTTGATCCAAGAGACCAGAATGGAATCCTTGGATGACGGATGGTTAAGGAGATTCTAGGGGGATAATAACTTTGGTTGGGTATTTGGACCGTCTATAGGAAGATCCAGGGGACTTTTGAAGGCTATAAATGAAATGGGTTGGTGGACAATGCGTTGGATGACCACAGGGCAGCAGATAGCAAAGAAGACCAGAAGTGGTATTTCATGGATACTCCCGAGTGACAATGAATTAAAATATCACGTTGATGGCTCTGCGGGAGGCAAACCCGGTGGGTTGTGGTGGCGTATTTAGGGACGGTAATGGCTGTGGGCTATGTGAAAGATTGTATTTTTTCTTTGGTTTACTGGAACTGTTAGAATCTATGAACGGATTGTAGTTTTTTATTTTTT